ATAAATGTGAGATGACGTACTTTGGAAGGAGGAACAAGATGTTGGAGTGCTCAATGAATGGCAGGACACTAAAAAGCTCAGGGGACAAGAGGGATCTGGGAGTATTTGTTCACAGATCCCTGAAGATGGCAAGGCAGGTTAATAGGTTAGTTAAGGCAGCATATTTAATGCTTGCCTTTTTCAGTCAAGGCACAGAATATAACAGCAGAGAGGTTATGTCGGAGCTGTACAGAACTCTGGTTAGGCCACAGCTGGAGCAGTGGGTGCACTATAGGAAGCACGCAATTGCACTGGAGGGGGTGCTGAGAAGATTCACCAGGATGTTGCCTGGGATGGAGCATTTCAGCTATGAAGAGAGGCTGGTAAGCTGGGATTGTTTCCTTTGGAGCAAAGAACGTTGAGAGGGTCTTGATTGAGGTGTATAAGATTATGTGGGACATGGACAGAGTGAATGGAAAGCAGCTGTTCCCCACAGTTGAAGGGTCAAATATTAGGTTATATAGTGAAAGGCAGGAGGTTTAGAGGGGATCTGAGGAAAGGTTTATTTACCCAAAGGGTTGTAGAGTTCTGAAATGCACTGTCTGGGAGGATAGTTGAGGTAGGTAACCTCATAACCTTTAAAAAGTACTTGGATGAACATGTAAAGTGTCACTACATTCAAGGCTATGGTCCTAGTGTAGGTAAGTGTGACTTGTGTACACAATAGTGTATTTTTAATAACAACACTCAATAGACTGGAGGGCTTCCGAACTGTATGATCCTAAGAAACTGGTCAGAGTACAGCTGGAATACTGTGAACAGTTTTAGAACCCTTATCTAAGGAAAGGTATACTGGCAGTAGTCCAGATAAGGTTTTTTTGGTTGATCTTAGCTATGGAGTGATATTCTTATGAGATTGAGTAGGTTGGGCTTGTATTCATTGGGGTTTAGGAGAATGAGAGATGACTTATTACAACATAGAAAATTCTTAAGGGTCTTGACAAAGCGGAGAGAGGTTGACCCCCATGATAGAAAAGTTTAGAAACAGAGGGCAGAATCTCAGAATAAGGAGTTGCCCATTTAAGGCAGAGAGGAGGAGGACTTTTTTCCCCCTCTCGGGGGGTAGTGAGCCTGTGGAAGACTTTACCGCAGAAGGCTGTTGATACTGGGTAAGCAGATTAAAAGCTGGAACAGACATATTTCTATTCATTTAGGGCATCAAGGATAAAAGCGATAAGGTAGGAAAGGAGTGTTGAGGAATATCAAAATGGCCACGATCACAGTGAATGGCGGAGCAGACTCAATGGGCCAAACAGCCTACTTCTGCTCCTATGTGTTATAACTTCATGACATATTACATCAGGGAAGCTGCAAGGAGCAGTGTGATCGTGAGTCACCCAGATAATCTAAACAGAATGGAAACTATGGTAGTCTTCAGAGATGGCAACTGCAAAATACTCAAATTGACATGATCCAGGATTCAAAAACAAGATTAGGAGACGTATATTCATTAACTCATGTATTTAATGGCTTGTGCATTTTGAGTACTTTGTGTGCATGCCACACTTATGTCCGTAAAACTTGTCATCCCACTTTGTTGGTAACACTCTTGCTCTTCACCAAGCAACAAATCCGCTGATTCACCATACATAATGCTTCAAGAGACCTGCTAATATTACTTTTAAAAAGGCTGATTTTGAGGAATTTAAAGCTTAACCATAATGACTGGAGGCATTTTCTTCAGTGTCCAAGTGGAACACTTTAAAGATACAATGTAGAACCATCAGGATTAATTCTTTCTAATCACCTGTTCAGAGATGTTATTAAACACCTCTGGAGCAGGTGGGGCTTGAACCCAAGCCTCCTGGTACAAGGGTAGGGATGCTATCTCTGTGTCACAAGAGGTCCCAACAGCCAGGACTAAAAAGCACACCGAAGATTAGTAACATGCTAAGCAATCTTTACTCCAAATAATTAATAACATAATTAGAAAAAAAGTCAAAAGACCTACATGATGAGAAGACAAAGAAGCTGAGAGACAGCTAGAGAAAAAGCATAATGCAGACACAAAATATAAAAGTCATAAAGTCCTTAATTAGTTAAACAAGGTAAGAGAGTAAATAGGGGACCTAAAAATGCAAACAAAACTGAGGATGAGCCAAGGTACCATCTAGTTAATATTGGAAATTATTTCTTCCTTTAAGAATTCATTAGACAAGTTATGAATGCGTCTTCTGAAAACAACAATATTCTAAGTAAAATTAATGAGATGTAAATAAATTGGAAATTCTAAACAAACTAAAAGCTCAACAAATAAACGCCATGGGACAGACCAACAAGACATAGAGATGACATTCATGACCTGCCGAGTTTCACTGAAAAGGAATCAGAAATACCCGTAGGCAGATTTTCAAAAGACCCACTTATCAAAAGGATAACAAAAAAAAATCCAAACAACTATGCGTGCTAGGTAAAATAATAGAACTGATCATGCACATGCTCGAGATTTAGCCAGAATACAATACCTAGATTCAGCACCTAACAGAAATTCAGAAAGGTAACGTTGCTTGATCAAACTCCTTCAGCTTTCTGATGATGTGGCATTGCAAGCAGAATACAGTGAGGTGAGAAAGGCTACAGCGTTTAAAGTAATAAGGATTCTCATCCTGTTAATGTAAAGGAAATTGGTTGGAAGGTGGAAATCAGTCAAACCTGCTCAGGGATTAAACTAATTGGAGGGGGTGGGGGGTGGAGAAGAGGGGGCAAGAGCTGGATGGAATCATTGTTAAAATCTGTTTTGAACTTATATTAACAACTTGCTGCAGAACCTGCACCCAAATTGATCAAAGTTACCAAATTGACAATCACTACAATCTAAAAGGACAAGGGCAGCAGGTACATAGGAAAACCATCACCTACAAATTCCCTTCCAAGTTAATCACCATTCTGACTTGGAAACATACTGCCATTCCTTCAGTCTCACTCAAAATCCTGGAATTCCCTCCCTAAGGCCATTGTGGGTTTACCTACAGCCATGGACTGCAGCGGTTCAAGAAGGCAGCTCACCACCACCTTCTCAAAGGACAGGTAAGAAATGGTGGCCCAGCCAGTGATGCCCACATCCCATGAGCGAATTTAAAACGAATTATACAAA